TGGCAAACATTCCCATGCACCCTCTTATTCTACAACTCATAGTTCTAAAACCTCTTGGTTTTGTGCTTTTCAGTTGGAAACGCTCGCAATTTCAGAGTCACCCTATTACAGATCATCTCATTTAATTGACGGGAAGCACTAATGTAGAAAGAATCCTGACGATTAAACTCACTCCTATGAATTACGTTATTCCTCAATGCGCTTTTTACTAGAGTTCTTAAGAAATGTTCCCGAAAACTATAAGTTTTTCTCTCTAAAAAACTTCCATGCATATGGGACCGTTTAAGGCTTGTCTTCTGCATTTGTTTTGTGTTACAGTAAAAATCATAGTAGTTTTTATTGATAATCTATCGCAAGAACAAGTGATATTCAGAGGATCTGTAGAATAGTATGTACACATAAATGCGAATGGGAAACATCACTGGTAATAACGCTTGCGAAATAAAAGAAAATTCAAACAGATAAAGCGAATAAAAACGAAGAATTACAATGGGAAGATGATGACGTAAATCAATGTAATTCAATACAAAGAATATGAGACCCATGTTGAGTGTGTATGTGTGTGCGTCGCGGGACTTCATAGATATATGTGCATTTGCAGACGAAATGTTAAAACCTTAGAAAATTTCGAAGGGCTGTGGTAGGGCTATTCTATGACAAATTCTATCACTTATTTCCTGCTAACGTAAAACTGAGCTTCAAGGGGATAAATTAAAGCGGAGATAAGAACTAAAACGACATCGTCTTACGACGTTATAGCACTTGGTGTTTGGCTGGAATAGGCTGATTGCAGTAGTAAATGTTATGTTATATAGTTGTACATACAATTAAAAGTCATAATATTGGCTGTCATGTTGGTTTTAAGGGATATTAAGGGAGTTTATGGCGTCTTACGGTAAGACGGACTGTGGGATGTTGTTTGATGAGTTGAATTGCTTCTTCATGGGTTAATCCTTTCGTGTCACGTCCATTAATCGATATTAACTGGTCTCCAACCTATAAACAAGTGTTAATTTTTCAAATCCCTTATTTTTAATAAAGAACTCACCCTCAATCGTCCGTCCATCGCTGCAGGACCATCTTCAGCGATACGAAGTACGAATAAAGGCATTGCACCAAACTCTTGACCACCACGAATTGAGAAACCAAACCCGCGCACACCTCTTTCCAACTCAACGGATATTATAGGGCCATCCTAAAGTATGAAGCAAGTTTACATTGGTCTCTGATAACCAAAATGATATCTATTGGGAGCAATTTGAATTATTTTGTTATCGTTACATGCAGGAATAAGTTGTTTAGGTGAGTGGAAGCAGAATCAGACAATTTATGCACATGCATATTGTTCCAGTAGATATACTTCTACTTTCTTGAATTGTGCTCTTTATCGAATTTGATTCAAAAACAAATAAGAACATTTCTTGAAAGTCATCTGCCTTCACGATGCTCTGCCGAGAAAAGGCATACTGTAGTTCCCATGCGTACGTTCATTGCAAACTCTTCTTTCCACGAAGGGGGAAAAAGTGGTTTTAGGGAAAATATGTTTATTTTTCGAGTTTTTAGAGCATGCCCTTGCTGCATGGTATAAATAGCTACGTCTGCAAGAAGAAAAAGAAGTTGTCATTCGTCATTCATTCATTCAGCCGAAGTCGCTATTCATGGCCAGCGAAGGTCAAGTTAGAGTTTAAGCATCTTCTTCCATCTTTCTCACTCCATTCACCGTCAAGTTAGAGTTAAAGCATCTTCTTCCATCTTTCTCACTCCATTCACCGGAATCAACTAAGTTCAGGTATGGAAAAGCTCTGCTAGTTGAGACAGGTCTCAGCACGGGGTCTCCGATTGAACCTTAGGAGAACGAATACCCGCCCGAATTACAGGAAAATGCGAAGCCCTCTTTGTGACCTGTACAAACGCGTGCAATCAGGAGAAGCCTGCAGTGCCGTATACTTGGAGCGCGTTTTCTCCATTAAGGAAAAACAATTTAGAGCCCTAGCAAGGAAGGGAGAAAATGCTGTGATCTGATTATCGCGCAGAAGTTGGGTCAAGGAATGCACAAAAAGTGTTTGCTATAAGGAACGTAAAATTATGAGAAACAAAAAAGTGTTTGCTAATCGGAGAC